GTGGGTTTTTTGTGCTTACACTTTAACGTCTCCTAGCCACATCACTAGATCAGGGCTTTTCAACATCGGAGCACTGATGTTCTGGCTGGCATAATATTTCCCTCGAGTCATGACAATCAAAGGTGTCTTCAGACATTGGCAGATGTCCCCTGGGGGTCAAAATCAGCCCTAAACCCCCGTCCTTTGAAAATAACTGTTTGGATATATCACTCTATCCAACACCCAATTCTAATTAGGATGTGCTCCTTTTGGAGAAACTGAGTCAGTTTTGTATTTTTTTCATAAGTAAACTTGTCCTATTATATGTATGATGTTTGATCTCACGCTGTCCTTTAATTTTGTATATATATTTGTTGTTCATGCCTCCTTTGTTTTCTATATGTACCTAAATGAATGCCTTATATTTTGCATGTGAGCTTATGTCTGATCTCTTCTTTTTCTGAGAAGTAGGTTTATAATCTGTTTTCCAATTTTCTGGTGGTTTTAACATTGCATCACCTTTTGATACCTTTCCTCTTTTTTTAAAAAAATCAGTTTAACTATATCTATTGATTCCCAGCTCTGAACCATGAAACAATTAGTATCTTTATACCTTTGACAGCAGGTACAATTTTGTTTGATTTTTAGCTTACTTTCTGTTCATTTTATTAGAACTAGAGAGAGCCAAGATTCTGCGATCTCCTTATCTCAAAAATCTTCATCATCCCTTTGTACCTTTACTTTATCCCTGTAATTTATGAGCGTATGTATACTTTTAAATGCATGTACTTTTATACACATATATATACTAGTATATATCTACCTATCAATATATAGATACATATAGAAAGACAATGAGTATCGAATACACATACATGTGCATATGTGTATGTGTATATATGTATATACATATATATTTCTTTTGGCCAATAAAATATTTCATCAAGGAATGAATTCCTTTTTATATTTCTACTGCAAATGATTAAAAACCTTTGCTAAACAATTGTCACTTAATTGCCTCAAATGTATAAAATTACAAAAGCAAGAAATAGTAACAAAGGCTTATCAAAATTAGGAGGCAAATACCAAAGGAAGCATTGCAGGGGTTGGGGGGAGACAGGAGAGACAAGCCTCATAGAACTATTTAACACTTTAAATCAAGAGAATGTAAAATCCTGATAAAATTAAAACCAACTAAAAAGTAAATAAAATCCCTGAGTCCCTGAATATCAAAGTAGTTATCACATTCATAAGACACTTTGCATTTAATGAATAAAGACGAAGAAAAGATAGATGGACATGTCACAGCTAAGATACATGAGGCAAATTCTAGTAAGAAGTCACACTGAGGATGACGAGTGTATAGACTGGATCTGGAGCATATCATTTCCTGTGAAGGACCTGCCTTACTCCTCAAGCTGAATTCTTTTAACGTACTGAGAGATTGAACGGCAGAGGACGGCAGGGGCGGCAGGGTGTCAGCGCTGGCACGATGGCGCTGCGTCATCACACAGCACCGGGCTCCCCAGGCCAGCAGGGCGGGGCTCCCCAGGCCAGCAGGGTGGCGCTCCCCGACCTCTGAGGATCCTGACCCCCAGCTCTCCCCCAGGGCCCAGCTGTCCCCACGTGGAACACTTAGAGCTGTCTTGTGTCCAGGGGCTCAGGGAGGCAGCTCTATTGCTGTGGCTTTCTGCTCTGTGTAGTGGTGTCCATGCTGATTATAAAATTTTAAATTATCTCTGGAAGTAGGCATGGCTCAGGGTCCCACTTCTTATTAGACAAAGACCCTGGCTCCCGCCCCTCTCTCCATAAACACACACACACACACACACACACAAAACACCACAGTTTGAAGAATCTTTCACAAGGAAAGTTATCTGTCCCACTTAGTATCAGCATACAGCCAAATATTTGATACTTTTCCTTGGGAAAATGTGATCTCAAAGAGTGAATCTGTGAAGGTCTGAGATACATCACCCTTAGATGATCTTAGACATATCATCCTTAGATCTGGCACTGTCTTATATAAGGCATTAAAATTTGTCCAAAGGTACAGATGGTTCAGAAGAAGCATGTGACAAGGAACTCAGAGAACTCATAGAACTGGATCAGGGGAAATATATGTCATATCAGTGGGGAAAAGGGAAAAAAAGGCATCACGGGAAATTTCCAAATGCTCCCCCCATGGCTTTCTGACTTAAGGTGACAATGCATTCAGGACATTGCCAACAGACTAAGAATCTGGGATCCGGAGCTATTTAAGGAAGTTGATGACCTGCAAAGCCCTAGTAAAAGATGAGCATTGAACAGAGGTACTTAACAGGGAAAAAAATGCATGTCTTTTAATATGCATGAAGTTAATGTTAAACAGTAGGATGTCAATAAATCATTTCTTTTGCTTGTCCTGAAAACAGCTCAATTCAAGAAAGCATCATTGTGACCGATCCTTTCTCCAAGGCGCCCTTTATATTTTCTGATATTTTGTATCAAAAACAACATATATACTCCATGATCTTTCAGCTCGATGATCTTTCAGACCAAGTTTTGTAGAGGGCTATTTGGAATTTTTAACTCCATAAACAATACACCTTTAATCGTTTGCAAATTTCACTTTGCTAAAGGCAATTCATCACTAATATAAATTGATCTATTCATTCTGATTTTTAAACCTCTTAATTCTTTCCCTCTTTAATATTTCCCACTATATCTTGTAGTAGACATCTTTCAAGTTATGGGAGGCATTTTAAATATTTTTGCATCACAAATGACAGAAGAAAAGGCAATATCATTCTAAATTTAAAAATACATAAGCAAAAGAAAATATAAAGAAAGTAAAAGCTCCATTCTTAACTGGAAATCAAAGCAACCTGAGGCTTCTAATCTTAAAAACCAGAGTCATTTAGAAAAGACAGTGATATTGTCTGTTAGGTTTAGGGACTGAAAATATCATGGAGGTTTTAACGTCAATTGAACTATTTATTCAGCTGTCTGACAGAAATCAGTCACTAGCTCTCAGTTTAACCCTAAACCCTCAGACCAAACATGGCAAACAAATTATTGTAAATAAAAACAGGTAATTCCATCCTTCGTGAATTTCTTTGTTGCTCTAAATTAAGAGCAGGGTTTCATAGAGGGAAACATCTGCAAAAGAGGACATAAAAAAATTAAGGTGAAAAGTGGGTGACATATGTAGCAGGAAAATAGGACAACTATGGCTTTTTGCATACAATGTGCCTTTTGCATTATTTTGATACTGCAATAGCCCATCAACAGGGAATGTGAGGCTGTAAAGCAGGAAGGAAGCACACCAGAGATTTTCCAGAGAAATATGCACCTCTTTGGAGTCATAAAATCAATTGGCCTCCACTGAATAAACACAAGTCTGGTTTTCTTAGGTGACTCTTTTCCTGTCTATGCACAAAAGCTGCAACACCTTCACATTTTAAGATTAAGCTGTCCATTTTTATGGCAGATTTTCTTACTCTTATGTTTCTAGGAGAGAAGGGAATGTAGGGCAGCTTTCATTTCTCTACCACACGTAGCTGCTGTCTTAATAATTCAGACTTTCCCTGTCCAGGGGAGAAAATGGACACCTAATGCACAGAAGCCTGGCCCAGCTTTCAACTGAGAGAGCCTCTGCGTCATCACATTTAATGCATGTGATTCAAAATCTAGCCTTGTTTAAGCTGAGGCAATGGGAGAGTAGTTTTTAGGTGACGTTAGTCTGTGCTGAGTTCCAGGTCTCCATGAGAGCACTTGGATAATCACTAGAGCACAAAGGTGGCACAGCAACTCCAGAAAAAGTCAATGCCATAGAAAGGGATTTTTTTTTAATTCCCTCACCCACCAGTTCACTGTGAGAGATGAGGTGAAATGGAGACTAAAGACCGCAGGCTGCTTCAGATGCAGGGGCTTGATGATCAGGGAATGTCGTCAACAACTTAGTTCTCATTCATTATAGTCATTTAATTTAGGAAATGTCTAAAAAGCAGATGGAATTTTGAGCTCATGGAAGATGAATCTGTGTCACCCTAGTCCTAGAAAGGCCGGGGGTCAGAGGAATCATGTGACTGCAAGGTGATAGCAGTCAATCCACCTGTCCCCCAAGACAGAGGAAACGATTGCTCAGGACTGTGTTCGTCTTACGGGCAGGTGCATAGCGGGGCTGTTAAAGGACTCACTTCCAGGCCTGCTTCGCACCCCGCCTGATGTCCTCTGAAGCTGGCATGTGGATCCTGCCAGCATCCACATGGACCTATTACTTCTCTATCCTTAACATCTACTCTCTCCAAGCCTCTGTTTTTTAATCTGTAAACTGGGGAAGATAATACAACTTTACATGTACGTTAAAATCAAAAGAAATAAACACACAAACATGCCCACACTGAAACAACGTGCCAAACAGACATGTCATTTTAAGAAGAACAAGACAAAATGTGTAAACTTGAGACAAAAACGAGAGACATGGAAAGAGAGTATAAGGAGGACATCAGAGTCCTACTTTCTGATCCTTATTGTCTATTTCCCGGTATGTAGTGGGTTAGTTTTGAAATCTTGACTACACCTAGCAATTTTGAATGAAAAAAAGAAAACCCCTTGATAAAATATGACACACTTAAGCACAAGTGATGCCATCCACATTCAAGAAACTGCAGGGAAGTGGAGGTAAATTTTGAAGTAAATGACGTATGTAGTTTTACAGGTCCTCTAACCCAGAATAGTCTCCCGATCTCCTCTTCATCAATTCTCTCATTTCCTTTTGGTCTAATTAATCAAAATGCTCTGAAGGTTGTTCATTCATATGAATATGAATAAGGAATGAAATGCCATTCGATGTTTGAAATTATGGGGGCTATTTTAGTGACGGAAATAGACGAATGGCAGCAGAGTAGAGAACGCCTGATTACATATATTCATGAAGATGTCAAATGCTTATAAACCCAATATCTGGGACAGAGAAAGCTGGAGGACTACCAAATCTTCTCTCGCAAGGTGTGTTTCTCGAAATCATCACCACCGCCATGGACAAGACAGGGTTGTCGCAGAAAGGTAGGCGCAACAGCTCGTGGAATTGTTGGTTTTATCAACACTTGCGGGTTACTGGTTTGAAATGTTATCTAATATTCTCTCAGAGAGAAGTTTCAGGTTTACAGAGGTCAGCAGAGCTACTGAATAAAAGCAGTCATGAAAGGGCACAACAGAAAAGAACAGTGGTTCTCAAATGGGGGAATCACCTTCTTCCAGAGACATTTTGTGAACGTCTGCAGGTGTTCTGGGTGCCTTAATGTGGGGCGGCAATGCTGCTATTACTTAGTGGGTAGAGATCAGAAAGATGTGGCTAAAACACTGCAATGCATATAGGTCAGCCTACAGAACATGGAGTCACCCAGCTCCAAACGCCAGTGCTGTCAGGCTGAGAAGCCCTGGGAGGGAGTAAGGCCGTAAGTGTCTACAGGTCCCATCATCACAACTCCGGAAGGCAGAAACTAACACTTTTTGGTTCCCGGGCCCCTAATGTGGTTTGGCCAAGGTGAGTCAACCTGAGGACACATTCAGCTCAAAGCTGCAGCAGAGTCAGTTGCAGGATCGCCTCTCACGACTCCTTGCCGATTGGGTCTGAGCCATATGACATTTCAGAAGGAAAAACAGGCCAGCAGTAACTAACCATCTCCACTCTTTTGGTTGACATTTGTAAGAAAAAGGAACTCATACCAACCAGAAAGCTTATTTTACGAAATGAAGAACAAAAACATTGCCTATTTTATCTCATCTTAGACCATGAAAGTCCTAGAAATGATAAATGTACAGGTAAATGTAGTCAGTTAATGAATTATCTATTCAGCTATGTATTTCCTAGAACATTCTAATTCCTCTGTCAGCAAAGCACTTTTTATTTACATCTAAAGTTAAAGAATTCATTCAGCTGCAACACAGGACTGTGAGGTACCTAATGTAAACTTTTGGAAACACCATGTTTTTGCAAAATTAAAAGTCTGTTACATGAACCATCTTACAAGATTGATACCTTTTATTCTGCAGCTAAAACTTTGTTTAGTTACATTCTACACCAAATGAAATTTTTAGATATTTTTAGGTATTTAGGCTTAGATATTTTTCACACATAAATCTTTAGGGCTCGCTTACTTTCATCATGGACATTTCCAATTACAGTTCCTGAGCTTTCCATGGGAGCTTAGTTTTCTGATAAACAGATTTTTATATCAGATATTTTTTAGAGAAGTTCCACTCACATTAAAAAGTGATGTTAATATAGTCTTGCCTTTGAAAGTGTAAATTATTGATATATCAGAGGCCCATATCTGTCCATCTGCTGAGGTGTCAAATTGAGGACTGAACCATTTCTGCTAATTGTCAAAGATACTCAAAGTGAATGTCTTGTGGGTAGAGCAGCAGAAGTGAATAAAATCAGCTTCTGAGGGCCACCATCACCACGCCCTCAAAGGCCAGATGTTGTCCTTCACACGCAGTCGCAGTGACCACACATGTGCTGTGCCACGAGGGCCCCTGCTGCCCTCGAGACCCGCATGAGACAGAGAGACTGCGGGCGCGAGGCAGCATGACTGGCGGCGAGGACAGTCCTGGTGGCCAGCCGCCCTGCCCGCTGGTCACAGCACTGGGGAACCCACTTAGTCTCCTGAGCCTTCTGCTCCATCAATACAATTTGATGGTAACAAGGAAGGCCAAAGCCAGCTCACAGCGTTACTGTGAAATTAAAAATAAAAAATTTAACACAACACGTAGGGCTATTAAGGTAAGTGAGCAGATCTAGGCTACAGCATCATTTTTATGTTAGAATTCTCTGCAGACACAATAGTAGCAATCGGTCAAGTATGGTATTATTCTTGTCAGGTACGAGGGCAAAACAAACAGATCAACTACACTGTTCTTGCATTTCAGCAGCTGACGTGCATGTTTCAGTTAACACAGGGTTAAAATATCACAAACTCCTTGACAGCCTAGCTGTTAAATGTCTGCAGAAACTCCCAAGACATTAAGCTATCTTGAGAGAATGACCTCAACACCCTGGCTCAGAATTCATTTAGGCTCCAAATGTTTGCAAAGGACAGAGCACTTCTGGGAGCAGCACAAAAATGCAGGGAACCCAGTTCTCAAACTGTGTAACTGTGCAAATACAATCATACCTCAGTTTGCACAGCAGGTGTTGACTCTTGCCCACCCCGGCTAGGCTGGCCCCGAGCCTGCTGAGGCTCACTGGGGCAGGGCCCTCCCGATGGCCTCAGCTGGACAGGTCATCTCAGAGCAGCTCGTGTCTCCCTCCAGCAGGGTCATTCACGCTCCTACTGCTGGCGTCAAGTCTGCTTCTGTGCAAGAGCACAGCACCCCTGCCCATCTGCCCCAGTGGGGCTGTCAACTGCCAGGTGTCCCTCCGAGACCTGTTTGACCGCGCCGTCATCCTGTCTCACTACATCCATAAACTCTCCTCAGAAATGTTCAGCGAATTTGTAAGTGCCATATTTCTCACTTCTTCCAGAAGGAACCCATCTTGTGAGGGACAGGGCTATATAGCACACTTTCAACAAGAAAGCGGAGCCAGCTGCATTTCAAACAATACACGCTGCAGGTAAAAGCAGCCATCAGTTAATAAAATGTACCAGAAGAAAAGGACAGTTTCTGAAATCTCAACGATTCTTCAGAAGTGTAGTAGCTTTTTAAATTTCTTTTAAGTCGTTTTATGTTTAAAAATTTCCAAAATATTTTAAGCACCTGTATTAGCCAGTTGGAGCTGGCATACAGAATATCTGGTCTGTAGCTTAATCAACAGAAATTCATTTTCTCACAGTTCTGGGGGCAGGAAGTCTGAGATGGGTGTTCCGATAAGCGATCCCTTCTTCTCATCTTGCCTTCTCCCTGTGTTGGGGGTGGGGGTAGGCTTGGTAGAATGTTTGGTGTCTAATCCTGCTGGATCAGGGGCTCCACACCTGTGACCTCATTCAACCTCGATCACCCCCATAAAGGCCCCACTGGGGTTGGGGCTTCAGCATACAAATTTTGGGGGAGCACAAACATTCAGTCCATAACAACACCTGACATAAAGCACTTCGGGGTAGGGCTTTGGAAAGGAAGCACGTTGATTTCTTGTCCTTGTACGTTGGCATGTTTCCTAGGCATTCTCCACCCCACACACTAGCCATCCCATAAACGAGCAGAGCAGTGAACTGGGAGGACTGAACAGAGTCAAACAAAGCTGAACCACATCAGGAAAACAAATGAGCACTAATAGCTTTTTTGCAACCACAAAATGCTACAAATAGAACTGTTCTAAGATTTCCAGTGTATGGGTTTAGAACTACAGTAAGATGGTTGGCTTAGAACTGGAAACAATTATTCTCTTCCTGCTTAAGGTACTTGGAAAATTATATCTTAACTCATTTAGGTCAACCAAGGAGCAGACAGTAGATTAGAGCTTCAATAAATCAAAGGGTCTCCATAAAGAGTGTGACTGAATTTTGCAATAAATGTATATTTGTATCATTTTTTTTCATTCAATAGCTTTCCTTTTATCTTCCATTTTTGACTGGTCACCTATTGTCTTCCAAATCTTCCTGGCAATGTCTTCAAATTCCCACAGTTTTTGCTAACAAGTGGTTTTTCTCTGTCAATGTGTTAGTTTCTTTCTTTTCTGTTCTTATTCTCAGTCCATTGCCTAATATTTCCCAAAATTTCCTACTGTTTTTCTGACTTACCATTTTATCACAATCAACAAAATTGTATTCTGCATCTATGATGAACATGATAAAGTACAGTTGTATGGATTCAGGGATTAATTAGAGGAAAGTTAGAATTTTATAATGCCTATTAAGGGAATATTTCAGATTGGACTCCCAGTAAACAAGAGATTAAATGGCTAAATATAGCTGCATAAGCACACATTTGGTTCAAATAGTAGAGAAAAATGAAAATAAAACATTTAATGTTTCTTCCTTTTTTTTTTTTTTTTTATTTTAAGTGTTTGCTTTCCAAATAGTAACATGTGGAAAGGGCAAAATTAAACAAGGGAAGGGAAAAGGTTGGAATTTAGAAGAGTTAAATGAAAAAACATGCATTTATAGAGATAATAGCAATAAAAGGGGAAAGGTGACTCTCAACTCTTTTGATTCAATTTTTATGTAGCTCTCATTTTTAAAGAGTTATGCACTTATCAAATGTGCTAATATTCTGGTGTTGGGTCCATTTACTCAATACCCAAACCGCCTTGACTAATTGCATTTGCCTGGCCCCTTGCAGGACAAACGATATGCCCAGGGCCGGGGGTTCATTACCAAGGCCATCAACAGCTGCCACACTTCATCCCTCTCTACCCCTGAGGACAAGGAGCAAGCCCAACAGATCCGGGTGAGTCTTTTCTCCAGATTTCTCACCAGAACCGGGAGGCAGCAGGCTGGGATGGCCGTGCTGTGGATCTTCAGAGGCTCTGTAACGGGTGACGGTAATTGCACATGCAGAGAAACATGGAGGGAGAGCAGATAAGGAGAGAAATTACATTATGTGGCTCAGGAGTTACCAGTAAAACTAAATGCTGATGGAAGATCGCAGCAGCACAATAAATAACGCATCTATTAGCTGTCTATGCAGACGACGATGTTTTAGCCCTTCCTTAGACCCAGAAGTGCACTGTAAAGGGTAAGGTTTCCAGTACTCACGGACGTGTAAGAAATGCAAATACAGTTTTGCTCACTACATACCACGCGCGGCCCCTGCACCGACAGCAGTAACGCCGGTGGCACCACTCCATTTGTACCATCTCTCCCGGACCGTCAAGGCTCGCCGCCTGACACCTACTTCTCTCTTCATTCTTGGCTGACGCCTCTTCACCCCCTACTCACTGGATGTCTCCTCCCAAGTTGGGTTCTGTATGTTTCTGTTCTGCTTCTCGTGATGGCGAGTATCGCTCTATGCTGATGGTACCAGGGACCATGTTTCGAGCCCCCATCATTTGTCCTGCCTCTGATGGGTTTTAATGATTTTAATCTCTTCCTTCTGATTCTCTGCCTTACCCTCAGTCTTAACATGGCTTAAAATAAGCATGTTCACCTACATACCTCATAAATACAATCTGTTCTCTCTTCACAACTTTGCTAACAGTGCCAGAACTCATTCCTTCTGCTAAACTCATTAATCATATTGACGACGATAAAATAAAGAAAGAGGAGGGGAGCTGCAATGTCCCGCGGGCAACTGCAGTGCCGGACAGTCTGCAAAGCCGTTTCTGTGAATCACTGTCTTGACTCCTCACTTGTTAGAGGAAAAATCCTCTAACAAGGCACTGCCACAATTGCTGAGAAAAGGAGACAGGTCTGCGGAGATATGGGGTGTGTCCGGCCACCCGGTGGTGAGCAGGGGGTCGGGGCCTCACTGGACGCAGACCCTCACTCGCTGCCACCCGGCGGGCGGCGCTCCGTCCACGGCCCACCGGCGGCTCTCGTGGCTCCTGGCGCCCGTGGCCGGCGCGTTCCCTCCGCGGTGCTTGTGCGGCCCTTCCCCACTCTTCCCTTCCTTTCCCTGCGTTGTGAGACCTGTGGTGTTGTTGGCAAGGGAAGCGTGTGCCCGCTGCTTCACCGGCGTGTGTCCACACGCAGACACTCTGGCAGCGGCCTACAGCCGGGGCCAGCGCGGGTCAGGGGAGGGTGTGTGTGAATCCGTCTTCTTCGCTCTTTGTTCCACCATCAGGAACTGCAGGCCACAAATTAATACGTCACTGAGCTGTGTGACTCACTATTATGACTGGATCTTTGGGTGAAAATGCTTCGGGCTCTCTGCCCTTGACACGGGTGGACTCTCTCCCCTGGGCCACGTGCTCCAGACACAGGCATACTGCGTTCCGGCAACACACTGCTTCCTCCCCGAGGACAAGCTGAGCAAATGCAAAGCGACGCACTGAACGGAAAGATGGTAGAATTTCAGAAGGAAAACAAAATTCTCCATTACAAGTTAGAACTCTCATCAGAATAAGTAGTTGAATAAGTCAGATTATTTTAGATTGCTTTAGCGAAGTATAAGCCAGCAGCTTAAGTTCTATGCTTTTACAACTTTAGCACCTACATTTTACATACACACAGGAGTAACAGAGAGATGCTCTGGGTCGGCCTCTGAGCCCAGGTCCTTTTGTCTCACCATGCTCACCCAACGGGCTTGTTCTGTGCGGCCGCTCAGCACGAAGACCTCCTGAACCTGGTCCTCGGGGTGCTGCGCTCCTGGAACGGCCCTCTCTACCACCTGGTCGCGGAAGTGCGCGGCATGCGGGAGGCCCCCGATGCCATCCTGTCGAGAGCGATAGAGATCGAAGAACAGAACAAACGCCTCCTGGAGGGCATGGAGAAGATAGTCGGCCAGGTGAGCAGCCCCCAGACCCTCCTTTTCCTCATTAATGAAAGAGGTGACCTCTGGGATGGGGAATGAATATGGAGCACCTCACTTCTCAGAACAAGAGTTGAGGTACTGTACATCCTAGCTTGCTGTTACACAGAGCAAGCGCAGAATAGGTCACAGTAGTGATAGACTCTGTGGTCACTGGGCCCAAGAACCCCATTGCGCTCCTGGAACGGGCAGCCTCCTCCATGCTTGCACACCAAGGGCTCACCCCTGCTCGGGGACAGGGCGGTAACACACCTTTGAGGGAAAGAAAACTGGAGAATAGAATCCACAAATGTTCTCCTCAAAGTATTCCAGGACATCCACTCGTGGAATTCTCACATTCTTTCTCTTTTCTCCCCACACCAAAGGATAGAAAGGGAAAATAGAGGAAACTGAAACAGATTGACTGATGTGTCTCCCACCCCCATGCCCACCCTCTCAGGGAGCCTAGGAGACGGAAAAGATGAGGTCATAGTAGCAGCGCTGTTCCATACGCACAAGATTTCAGTGGGTCACAAAAGAGGGTGGTACACCTTCCCTGGAGTTTACTTTCCAATTTACAGAGAGTTGTCTAATCCTAAATTTTGTTTTGAGGGTAGCTTCAAAATCAAAACTTTCATCATTGCATTTAATCTCCCCAAATATTTGGTCATATTTAGACTGAGTTAATATTTGCAATAATATCTCCACTTGGGATGATTTCAGCATGAGTAGTAAAACCCAAACAGCTTTCTGAAGTTCTTGTAAATAAAGATCATGCAAAGAAGTATATATGTGATTATACTTATAACAGGAGCAATTTTATATTTCTCTTACTGGGAATAAGGCACGTTATGTGCCATTTCCATCATTTTCATGGGAGAATATTCTATCCAACACAAATGCAGAGCACATTTTAACCTACGGTATATGAAACAAACACTTAGATATCCACATTATTTTCTTCACTACTATGGACCTACTTTCAGAGGTCCCTAACTTATTCTAAAATGCTTCATTTTGTTCTTTTTTTCCCACTTACTTACTTATTCTTGTTCAAATCCCTATCTCTTTTAACAGTAAATTTTGTCTGCGCGGTTAGGTGCCATAAATAAACATAACACAGATCAACAAACACACACAAACCCACACACGCTTTACATCCTCCTGGAGAGTCCCAGGCAAAAGGATTCTTACTCTGCAGGAGAGTCTAGCAGACCAGGGCCTACGGTCAATCCACATTCGTCCCTAGTAGCTCTCCACAGCAGCTGACCTCGTAGGTGCCGAGACACCTGTGGTCTCTCAGATCCAGGGCGTCTCAGCATCCCCACAGGTACTTTCCCAGCATCTCTCACCCCGGAGTCCTCACACAAGCAGCCATTCCCCAGAGGAATCTGTGGGTTGTCTGTCCTGGGTGGACTGAGAAGGCCTCCTGCTGGTCACTGGCAGGCCACCTGCACCTTAAATCTTCAAGCAGATCCTCTCACTTCTAACATCTTTAGTTAATACACTTACATGGACAGTAGCATCAGTTCAAAGCAGGAAAACTATCAAGGCCATTACAGTCAAAAGAAACAAAGCACAGAGTGCCCGTCAGAGATAAGATCCAGGCGGGAAATGGCTCCTCAGGTGAGAGAATCGAGGCAAGTCCCCGAGGGCCTCCTGGCCACTCCCGCATCTGCATTCAGACAGTGACTTAAGGGTTCTCTGTCCATCCACTCCCTTGCAAACATACTTCGTCTGGGGTCACACACGTGCTGGTGAACCCCCCTCCCTGAGCTCTGCCTCTAGTTTTCAGATCGCTTGCGGATTTCTCACACCCTGGCACAAGGGCCCAAACCTGCCTGGAAGGCTTGACATTCGTGTCCCCAAATCCGAATCTGACAGTTAGCAAAGGAACAGAGACCAGCCAACACCAGTGACAAGTCACTCCCCTTTTGGCAATTAGGTTCACCCTGGAGTGAAAGAAAACGAGGTCTCCTCCGTGTGGGCGGGACTGCCGTCCCTGCGGATGGCCGATGAGGACGCTCGCCTCTTCGCTTTTTATAACCTGCTCCACTGCCTGCGCAGGGATTCGCATAAGATCGACAACTACCTCAAGATCCTGAAGTGCCGCATAGTCCACAACAGCAACTGCTAAGCCCACGTCCCCGCCCACTGACGTCTGGGACGGCCTGTCATGAGCCATCCTGTCGCATGCCATCCGTTATAATTTCTTTCAGGCTTACTGCTTTTGAATCCATGCTTGGGTGGAATGGGTCTCTTCTTAAAAAATAAAAACTGATGCCTAAAGACACCAAAATCAGAAAACGCAGTGTGTCAAAGTTCCTTATCTTCATTTAATAGAAAATGAAAAGAACACCAATCACTGTCATTGAGTAGTTCCTATAAAAACTTGTCACAAAGAGCAGAAGCTAGCATGACAAATCAGACCATTAGCAGCTTACTTAGAACCACAGTAATTATTAGGGTCAAGTTATTAGAATCAAAGAACTAGATAATTATTAACCATGCTGGCTACCCAGAAGACTGAATTCTCGGAACCCTTCACGCAAGCCCGCTACATGCCACCAGCTGTCGGCCTCAGGGCAGGTGGACAGGTGGGGCTGCGATGCACCCAAAGAGCAGGAGGTGTGCCTGACCTACTAGGAACTGTGAGGTGACTGTCTCAGTCGATCCGGGCCACTGTCCCAAAGTATCACAAACATAAACAACAGGAATGTGTCCCCACGGCACAGTCAGGGGAGGGCCCCCCTCCTGGCCAGACTTCTCCCGAGTCCTCACATGGGAAGGGACTGGGGAGCCTGCGGGTCTGCTTTAGGAGAACACCGATCCCTCTTATGAGGCTCCACACTCATACCCAGGTTGCCTCCCAAAGGCCCCGCCACCTTTCAGGATTTAAGATTTCAACATCTGAACAGGGGAGGGGGGCACACAGATATTCGGACCGCAGCCAAGACAAACACAAAGTGACTCATGCAGTGGTCATGTTCACCCTGCTCTACTGAGGTCCCACCTGCTTGGCGTCACCCTGAACACATTCCATGTTCCCACCACTCTGAGTCAACCAAGCCCAGTTTCAGTTCCATCTCATATTCCGCCGATGTAGCTGCTGCTTCTCCCTTCTTGCCGCTCAAAGGACCAAGCAGGAGAGCCCAGGTGGCCAATTTCTGGGAGGTTCCTTTGCTCGCCCGCCTCTGCACGCCCATTCATCTGGCTATGTTGGGATGGTCTGGACCGACGTACAAGGTGCTCTTACTGGCCTCCCATTGCCCACGGGGACTAACCTTGAATTCTCTCTGAATGGCAAGTGTCTCTCTTAGGCAAGACCCTGTGATCTCCCAGGACATCCACAAGTGGGGACACCCCACTGTACAGTTTCTTTACCAGGGGAAACGTGCTGCTAGATTCTTCATTCCCCGAATGGCTCTGCCACCAGCAATGTTCTCAGCAGGCTCTGCTGCTGATCCCCTCGCCCTGGAAGTGTCCTCCTGGGGAAAAGCGGTTCAAGGTCAGCCACCTGCTAGCTGACCCACAGGAAACCACTCAAACCAATGAGAGCCAGTGGTCCTGCACTGGCTGCTTCTAACCCCATCCTGGGCTCTCTTAACAATTCTGTTCCCTTCCTGTTAACATGGAGACAGAATGCACCAGAAAGTTAGGGTCACAAGCAGACCTTAATCTGAAAAGTGAGTCGCCATACTCCCTTTCTTCAGAATCACTGGGTAATTATGTCTGCCAGCAATTCTGAGAGAACTGGCCTCAGTGACGTTGCCTACCGGGCCCCGGGGTCACGGTGCTCGCACACAGAATCGTCTGTGTGCTGAGACTGGACGCGCTGACCCACAGGGCAGCTGAGCTGGCTCGCCTGCCCCTTCACCACCGGCAGTGAGGGCCACTCCTTTGCCTGCCCTCCTTCTGCAGCAGTTTTGTGCTTTAGCTGGAATTCCTAAACAACAGATGACAGGAAATATCCCACTTGGCATCCTGATAGATGTGCAACAGGAAGTAAAAGGGAAGGAGCATCAAGAGGAAGGAAGAGGAGGGAGAAGGAAGAACGGGGAACGAGGGGAAGAGGGGGCGCGAGGCGGGAGGCTGGGCTGTTTCAGACGCTCTGTTCATGGACACCGAAACCTGTCGCCTTGATTTGCATATCCTGAAAGCAAACAGCATCTCATATTCTCCTTTTATATCCTTTTCCTCTGCTCTCTTCCTTTTCTGAAAACTTCCTTTGTATTTAGACTATTTCTTGTCCTACTGATTGACTGGCAATAGCTCCAGAGATGAGCAGAATTGGTACCTCTGCAGATCAGAACTTGAGGCAATTTTTATCCACCAAGAGCAGAACCCTTTCCCACACTTACAGGAAAGTTGTCCAACCAAACCTGTCTGCTCCCTCAGAGCCGGGTTATTTTTGTCTGAGTGCTCCGGCCTCCGGCGCTGACGACCCAAACCTTTCGGGATAGCACAGGATGCTCTGCTGCAAACCAACCCGTCGGTCGCTGTCTTTGCTCCTGTCTGCGTGCAAAATGCCAGCTTTCTCATATGTCTGCTTTCTTCCTTTAAAAGGCTTGAGAGCATGGGAAAAACCTATGCACTCCCCTTCTAAGTCATTGATTGATGAGAGCATCTAATTCTGTTGTGTTTCCGACTTCCTTTCCTTCAATTTCTAGATATCTCCAACAGAGAGGATGGTATTTATCAGGGGTGAAATTTGGCGCTAAATGGACAACACAATTGTATGAAACACAAGTTCACCTCCAGCCCACATAATCTTCAAGTATTCTTCTAAGGCTTATTCCAAGCACAAATCTAAGACTTAAGATAAACAACTGAGGCGGTGATATTAAAAGGCCTCTCAAGCTTGATGGTGACATATAAGCTGAATACTGTCACTTTCAGACAAAATTGAGTCAAGCCATAGGCATTCTGCAGTTAGCTAGGGGTAGCTGAAAAGAGGGTTTTTGGGAAGACTATAACAATCTCTCCTCTGCCAATCAGAATGAGTTTCTTTTCTTTCCCCTTCCAAGAATTTCCATGTAAGATCACGCTGGGAGAAATGGCCCTGCTGCACCCACAATAACAGCAGAAACAAACCAATGAAAATCCCTTGAAATGCATTCCTCTCGCAAGTCAGTAAATCACGTGTCTGGGCATTATAAGGACTAAAAGAGACATTTAAAAATACGTCTATCTTCAAGAAGTTTGGTCTCAAGTTGTGGAGAAACAGAGGGTGATATAAACATGCAAATCACTATCCTATATGGTGGAGGAAAGCCAATGCAAAGTTTTACAATGAATTCAAGAACAGCTAGCAGACACTAGAGGTGGGACAAGGAAGTTCTTCAGAATGGCACGGCTTTATGATGGAGTTCTGCGATCGAGGGGATGTTTAAAAATAGGAAGACAGCATACTTGTCAATACACTTAGAATCATTTTATAATGTAAGTATATCCTACACCCTGAGCAAAAGCAACTGAGATGTTAATACATTATAGCCTTATAAGGTACCCTAAATAATCAAGTTTGACCAAGACAAATGTTCATCTTTTAAAAGAGACATGTTCTATTTCTCATTACTATGCTCCTGTGATATGCTATACACATTACTGTAGGGCAGTAATAGGGAAAACCCTTGTAAGGACTGTGTGTGCGTTGTGGAGGATCATCTATGCAAACCTGGAGAGCTCCTACTAACTTTCACAAGGCGAGATGAAACTAGAAAGCTTTAGTGCCACAGAGTAAGTATGTCCAGAACTGGAAAAATAGAAACATTAACTTGGTTAGAGGCTGTGGGAATGTGGGGCTGGTAGAGAAAGTGCAGCAGTTCAGAAACAAGCTGGAACATTATTACAACACTAGGAAAGAAAACCAGAGGGCTCTGCCCCGCAGAAAGAAGCGTAGGACGTGAGCGATAGGGAGGTAACAACAGGCCTCAATGACAGAGGGGACAAGGCAGACGCAGAGTCAAAGAGGCATCTGGGGACACAAGGCCGGAGGAGCGCGTGCGCGATGTCTGGCAAGAGAGAAGCGAGAGGAGCAGGTAGATTAAGGTTTGTCCGAGGCATCTGAGCTTTATTTTCCTGTATTTCATCGGTTGTGTACCAGGAATCATTAAAAATGCTGTTACTTTAGTGAATCACAGAAAACACTCAAAAAGCCTCTGCTAAATTATATCAAGTACCAGAACCAAAGCTTTTATGTTACCCAGTGAAACAAGTGGTAAGTCACTAGCCTCTTTCAACACTTAAGACATACATTGTAAAGCAGAGCAGATGAATAAAAAAATGAAAACAACCATTTCTGTACAAAGCCAGCCCCACACAAACCTAAACAAAGCATAAGCAATGTTCCCCTTCAAGATTCGTCCACTTTCCCCAAGAGTTCCTCATTTTTCCTCTTGAATCTACTCCTGTTTACCACTCCTTCCTCGTCTTAGCTCAGCAGATGGTCAGTTAATAACTAATCAAACATACCGTTAGAAAGTGCTCCTAAGATAACATTCTTATTTAAGGACTCTTGAAACTGAAAAGCTTTCTAATCCCCTGAGAATAAAACTAACAGTGAATGACCCTTCCCAACATCTTTCCAACATGCTCAGTAGGCATGCAGACACCCTCTGCTATTTGGAAACCTTCTGCACTATTTATAATCTATTTGGACAGGAAAAACAGGGAAGACAAATGAAGCAATAAAAGAAATTTAGAAAGCAATGCGTAAACAAGTAGAAAAGATAGCATATGATTTAAGAACAGACCCACGGCTGCCCGCCATGCCAGAGGGGTGGCCACAGAGCGCCAGCGAGGGCTCACTTCCCTGGGTGGAGGCTCCGTGTGCACTGACCGTTACTCAGCTCAACTATCTCAACACGGTTCTTTGGTTCTAAGATGCAGAACCACTGTCCCACTTAACTGCACTATCAAAAAATATATATACTTATTGCATAATTTAAAGTTGCTAAGAAGGTAGATCTTAAAATTTCTCATCACAAGAAAAAATCTGGAAACTGCGTGGTGACAGATGATAAGTACACTTAATGTGGTGGTCATGTCACAGTATAGATGATAATGAATCATTACACAGGACACCTGAAACAGACTTCATGTTCCATGCCAATTATACCTCTAATTTTTCTCTAA